TCAGTTCACAAGATTGGAAAGCACACTTGAAGATACCACCATCAGATTCCCGTTTTAGAACAGAGGTTAGAATTCAAAAGACGTGCTTGTTTACTTGCATACCTGAATCATTATCAGTGTTTGATCATTTTTATTTTATATTTATAAGACCAATTTAGTCGGTGAGAATGATTAAACTGTAAGAAGCACCAACACGGGAACGATGCAACATGGACATGCCGATTGTTCCAGAAAAATAGGACACGACACATCAAAGACGCATTGACTAAAGTAATATTATATTTGTACAAATTTTGATGAATTTGTAATTGAAGTTAAGGTTATATTGGTAATTTTAATGGTTAAGTGCCCTGTTGATTGCTTATGCACGTATGACCATTTACCCCCAATAATGACCACTACTTTTGTAACAAAAAATGTGGGTGTGGCTCTTCCTTCTTTTTTTAAAATGGCTGTTTCTAAGTTAAAATGAAAGGAAGAGTTTCATTTCCTCTACTCGGGTCTCGCTCATTAGTGACCGTCGACCCAACACCATTCAAACTCGCTCCACCCAACACCGTTCTGCACAATGCGGCCCTCTATAGCCATATGCTATCTTGTCGACCCACTACCTTGTGATTTTTCTATTCGAGATCTAGAACGACGGTCAGCAAGGTTATTTTCTTCTTCTTATTTATATATTTATTTTTAAATATCCACGGCTCGTCAGAGGTGTATCCAACACGTGTCATCGATTTGTCAGTGACATGTCAGAACTTCCTGGATTAGATTCTTTTCCACAGGAAACTTTTAAGTTTGATTATGACGGTAAATGTTTCCTTCTATGATCATTATCAATAATTTTATTGGACACCGACACGCCGGTGCTTCCTAGATTAGATTCTTTCTGCACAATTTTTTTTAAATTCTGTTTATGATGGTAAGTGCCTTCATTCTATATCAATTGTGGATAATTTTTATCAAATCATAGCTTTATTTTAGATGCGAGACCAAAATAACAGCTCAGAATCGAAGAACAGATGAGTTATTTTTGGGCAGAACTAACCAAAAATTACTTCTTGTAGTACCATCTGATTCTGATAATAACTAAGAGGAATCAGATAAGTCAATCCCTTAGTCATATGCTTTTTACACGAGTTTCAGAGTGCATCCTTTACATGCTTTATATTCATATTTGTGGTAATTGTTACATGCTTGATTTGTACCTTTAATTGTTTATCATATTCCCATTAGTAGAAATGTGTTAGAATTAAGGTAATTGAGATATGGAATGTCTCTATTTCTGTCATCTAAATTGACTGTTGCTTAAATGTTACAGCAGATGTAGCTTCTTTACTCCTGACAAGAGTAGTGTAATTACGTTATATTTCAGATTTCTTTCGTAAAACACAATCTATGTTGAATTTCAAGTGCTATCACATGCATTGCATCTTTTCTTTATTTTTTTAATGCATATTGAATTGGGCTATGGGTATAATCTATGTTTGATCCATACACTACTTTTGAAAGCCCCAAGTGATCCGGCATGCCTCGCTTGAGGTGTTCATTAGGAGCCTCAGGCTTACGCATTGAGTGCCTTTTGGGACACAAGACTGTGCTTGCCATTTATATTTTCAGACTGACATTTGTTTGAATGCGTACACTGTACCTATATTCATATATTAAATGTGGGGGTTCCTTTTCTCTTGCAGGATGTGACAGCCACTAAAGGAAATGAATTTGAAGACTATTTTCTGAAGCGTGAGCTGCTTATGGGAATATATGAAAAGGGTTTTGAAAGACCATCTCCAATCCAGGAGGAGAGTATTCCAATCGCTTTAACTGGAAGTGATATATTGGGTAGAGCAAAAAATGGAACAGGGAAAACTGCTGCCTTTTGCATTCCTGCCTTGGAGAAAATCGATCAAGATAATAATACTATTCAAGGTTTTTTCACCCGTATCTTATCTATTTGATAGTGCTTGTAGTGTCGTTGCTTACATGTAAACTGAGCTATTTCATTTTCGGGAGAACTAGAGTATATTTTCTAATGGTTGTGGATTACACTATACCTGATTTCTGGGACCTGAAATTATGGCAAAGAGATGATTATAGTTGTCTTTATTGTTTTCTCATTTTTTGTGGAGTGAGAGCTAATTATGCGTATGGTAAATTCATTTCAAATTATGTTGGGATTCTGCAGGGATGTGGAAATTGTACATGATTACTGAGAGTTTTTCTGCATCATGATGTCATATATGTTATTTGACAGGGTAACTTGGGAACCCTTGGTCAACTATTTTGTTAGTCTTGGTGTCTTGTCTCAAAAATTTACTTCAACCGTATTGCTTCCGTACTTGTACAATTTGTTGTATCAGGTCTTATATTGGAGCCTTACGAATGCGCACCTTTGCAGCTGTTATTCTTGTCCCAACTCGAGAATTGGCCCTCCAGACATCACAAGTTTGTAAAGAACTTGGGAAGCACTTAGAAATTCAAGTCATGGTTACTACTGGTGGAACTAGCTTAAAAGATGACATAATGCGTTTGTATCAACCGGTCCATTTACTTGTTGGAACTCCTGGAAGAATCCTTGATCTTGCAAAAAGGGGTATTTGCATTTTGAGAGATTGCTCCATGCTTGTTATGGATGAGGTATGAAAATGCGTCGTTATATCCTTTTCGTTTACTGTTGATAGAGCTAACCATTTTGGTGCCTTCCTTATCAATTGGAAATGAAATAAGACGGGTAAACATGCTGGTTTTCTTATAATTACGTTATAATAGTCAGTCTTGTTTTTCATTCTTCCTTCCAATACATCTTCTGTTTCCCATTGGTTCTTTTCTGTGGGAATGGAGGGATGGAATTATTCCTTCTAAAAGCAGATGCTAGAATTTTGTTGAAATGCTTGTGATGTCTTGTGCAGTTTAACTTTTTAATGTCGCAAACAAGTGCTAACAACAATAGATGGTGGTACTTCTAATGTGGACAGAGGTTGTCCAGAATATATGAGGAAAAAAGGATGTAAATTTTTATGAATTCTCCCTTCAAAGTGAGAGTGCTTTTACCTGACCTGTTGGTACTGAAGCTGTCTTGCTATTGACTTAATTTTATGCCTATCAGGCTTGACATTTGATTTGCTACTTCACTACTCAAAATAGAAAACGAGTAAATTGTGTACTGTTTGTGTAAACTGTCCTTCAGGCTGATAAGCTCTTGTCGCCAGAGTTTCAACCTTCTATCGAGCAGTTAATTCGCTTTTTGCCCACAAATCGTCAGATCTTAATGTTTTCTGCTACCTTTCCTGTCACTGTAAAAGATTTCAAAGATAGATATCTGCGGAAGCCGTATATCATCAACCTTATGGACGAGCTTACTCTCAAGGGTATAACGCAATATTATGCTTTTGTTGAAGAAAGACAGAAAGTGCACTGCCTCAACACTCTCTTTTCAAAGGTTCAAACTTTTCTTAAGCACAGTTATCTTGAATTTTTTATGTATAACACTGTTCATACATTACGTCATTTATTTTTTGGGTTAAATTTTCTTTTTGGGATTATATACATGTTAATTATCTGCCTGCAGCTTCAAATAAATCAATCTATTATTTTCTGCAATTCTGTGAATCGAGTGGAGCTTCTTGCCAAGAAAATCACAGAGATTGGATATTCTTGCTTCTACATTCATGCTAAGATGCTTCAAGATCATCGCAACAGAGTGTTTCATGACTTCCGCAATGGTGCCTGCAGGAATCTCGTTTGTACTGGTATTGTCTCTATGCTTCTTTTCGAGACTACTATGGTTTCACATCTTCAATTTTTTGTATAACTTGATTAATTGTGCATATTATTAGTGATAATAGTTCATCTAAATGTGCAACAGTTTGGACATCTAAATGAATGCCGGGGACTTGTTGAAATATTATTGATCATAAATTCAATGCTATCTCTTAAATTATCTCACACGTGCTACGTATTCTATTTCATGTTGGCTGAGATTGGGTTTAGGAGCACATTTAATTGACATTACGGTGGTGTAGATTGTGAATGATTAGTACCATGTGAGTGAATAGACATCTTTTTCTCAGGGTCATCTCAATTCTGGTTCTTGAAATGGGGGTGTGACTTTTTCTCGTAACAAAAATATAAAGGAGACTTTTGTCTTTGCATTCTGATTCTAGTCTTGTCGAATGCTGTCACGTTCATTATTGTTTTGTATTGCTATCTGCGTTCCCGCAGTATTTTAAATGTTGTTTTCCTTACCTTCCACCGTCAAACTGCAGATCTATTTACAAGAGGGATAGATATTCAAGCAGTCAATGTTGTGATCAATTTTGATTTTCCTAAGAACTCAGAAACATATTTACACAGGGTAAGTTGATTGGATATGGTTAGTGTTATTGATATTTACTATGCAATTTTCTTCTGGATGTTCATGTTATATGCAGGTTGGTCGATCTGGGAGGTTTGGACACCTTGGGTTAGCCGTGAACCTGATAACCTATGAGGATCGCTTTAATTTGTATGCACATATTTCCTTTCAGATATAATAGTAAATTACTGTAGTTTATTGAGGTAGTGCATATCTAGGTATTTTTATAATTTTCATACTTCCATCTTTCAGGTATAGGATTGAACAAGAACTTGGGACAGAGATCAAGCAGATCCCTCCAAATATAGATCAGGCTATATACTGCCGGTGATCTGTGGTAGTGACTTCGCTGCATGAAGCTGTATCACTGGTGAGTCATATCATATATGTGCATTCATGTGCCCAGTGCATTATATTTTATAGTTTCCAGCAGTTCAGCTCTAGTAACCAGTTTTAGTGTAACAAATCTAAGTTGTCTCATTCAGGAAATATAGGTAAACAGTGTAGTGTCAGTTTTTTTGTGCCTGTTGTATACGACTTTGGTTTGTTTACTGTCACCTAACAGCAATATGATGTCGTTGAGTAGTTTCATTTCTGATTATATTTTTTGAACATTGATGTCTGGTAGTTTTACAATTTTTCTGCATATTTGCTTGAATTTAGTATTTTATTTCTATTCTACTGAAAATATAATAAAGTTGGAAGAATTCGTATAGGATGAAGAAAAAAACTAGAAGTGGTAAAAGTTGATAGGATGTAGAAAAAAGTAAAAATGCGGTTAAAGATGTGAAGCTGTCCAGATTTTTGGATTCTGGGGTTCAAGGGAGTGCGAGAAGGAAGGTATTCTAGATTTAAGTCGCATTCATAATCTAGGACTTGAAAGCAGATTCAATACTTTGTTCAGATAGAAACAACGTGATAGCATCCCAATGTATTGTGTGTAATTGTGCAAGTAGTGTTTAATGTTTGAAAGGAATGGTGTTGTATTGTAACAATTGAATGGAAATGATACTGGAATTGTAATGTAGAAACTGAAAGTAAACGGTTACAACTGAAATGGTGAGTTTTCTTGACGCTCACCTCTCCTATTACAAACTCAAATTTTGCTTCCTGGATCCTGTTTTCTCCCCCTTCATAGAATTTATTCCCCTTGTAGACTCTGACCAAACTAACAGAAAGACTCGTAATAAAGATGGCATGGTAAGTGCTTTTGAATTCTTCCCACCTTGCTTTTTCCTCCTCCTGTAAGCAGTGTTCTAAAATGCACTCATATAATTCGCATATACCCGCATATGCTCAAGGCGTTTTCGAAATGCCTTGCATATGGGGTATAAACGTGATAATGCGGTTATAAGCCATTTCATTGATCGCATGTGCATACTTAAGCGCTAAAATTCGCACGCAATTATGTTAAAAATTGTGTGAAAATTAGTCTAGCAAAGTTAGGCCCATTGTTATAACTTAAGAAAAGCAAATTGAGCCCAACAAACATCGAATTTGTCAAAATCACCCAAGCCTATGAATTATATACAATATTTAGGGTTACAACGCTTGATTCCAAAGTATTCACTGGGATTTCATTTACTAGGCAGGTATAGTCTATCATGACTAGTTTTATTTCAAGGACCAAAAGAAACCATCCATGGTTCTGCGTAGTTATAGATTCTAAGAGAATTAAGTAGTTCATCCATACGTCCATGCTCTCTTGCACGGTGTTAAATTTTCTAGAACTTGTGGGCATACAGGCTTTCAACAATTTTTAAATCTAGTGCTTATATTTCAATAAAAAGTGTAATTATTTTGGTCCATATTTATTGTCTGGACAATCTTCTGTCTGACAAAATTGCATTTCTGTCTGTTCTCAGCGATCCATGAGTTTTCTGAGGCTATATGAAATTCTGGGCTTGGTCATGGAAGACTTGTATTCAGCTCATGAGGCGGACGAAGCTGAAATTTGCGAGATTTTACACTTCTGATGGTCCTAAAACTAAGAAGAAATCAAAAATTGTATATATTTCCTGGATAGAATGCTGGGTTCACGCCGTCATACCCTTTCCTCCAGTTAACTGTGTTTTCATTTTATTTGCTTCGACTAGTTTGGCGAATGCACTGAAATGCAAAAAATGTGTGTGCTGTTAGAGAGGAAATGATATAGCATCTGTTTGTGATGTGTAACTGGGCACAACACTAGTAAACATGATTTTTACTGGGTGCATGGATATCGACTTTGATTACTGTATTAAGCAATCCCTTTGTTTTTATCTGCTTTTATTCTGAAAACTGTTCTTTGTTGAATAATGTTATAGTATGACATTAAATGATAAATTCAATTAAATGTTGTGCTACGATACTCTTCTTTGTGGCTTGCATATTTCACTCACTCAATGTCCGATTCACTTTTCTTTAAACGTTAACGATATTAATCACTTAAAATAATATGAAAATGATGATCATGTTAATTTCTAGAATTGAGCTGAACCTTAGCCCAAATAAATTCCATCATTAGAGAAGACCCGAAATTTCGCATTTGAAATGTTATGAATCTCCTTGTCGATTATTGTCCGCTGTAAGTGAGACTAATAATTCTGTTTAGACTTGAACAATTTGGTTTAGATAAAAATTAGATTTTCAGCATATTTTAATTTATGGGTCCTATGAAATGTGAGATTAAATTTAATTGTTGACTTTGACTTAAATTTTAAATAACTGTTTTAGTTTAACCAAGCATGGATTTAATTAAAAACAAGATTATAGTCTTGTTAAAAAGTTGACAATCTTCAAGTTTATGCCATTTTAAATATAGAGAAATGGTGCTCTTGACTTAAAAGTTACTTTTAAGTGATTTTAGTATTGGACAAATATGCTCTAATTTCAATGATTCGACCTGGATCTTTTTAGCCACTTCACTCGACTTATAACGGCTATTGAAAGATTTAAACTAGGATTTTTAACGAGCATATATATTAATTTTGGTCTATACCTCTCTTTTTTGTGTTTACTGAATTTTTGATCTACACAAGAAACACCCACCACCTAAGTCGTCATTTTCGAAATTTATCCTCAATCAACGTCGTCTCTACCTGCTATATTCTCGGTTCTTAAAATAATGTTATTTATCAATACTCGTGATTGTCACGAGTGTATGTGGTTACTCTGTTTGGTGGCTATGTTTTTGACAAAAACATTGTTTTGAATAGTGATTTTTTTAAAAAAATGTGGGGTTAAAAAGTAGGAAATTTTTTTTTTAGGTTTACACGTAGAATATTTAATTGTGTGAATTTGTGGTTGAAAAATAAATTTGTTGAAATAAAAAGTTTTGAAAGAATGATAGACAA